GACAGCAACATGTCTGTTCCCTTTCCCCCAATTCCCCAGCACTGTTCCCATCCGCCAATTCCCTAATAAAAATCTTTAAAAAAACCCATATATATATATGTGTGTGTGTGTGTGTGTGTGTGTGTGTGTGTGTGTGTGTGTGTGTGTGTGTAAAGACACCCTGAGCTAGGGATCATGTAAGGTGCCTTGGGGCTTCAGAGGGTCATTAAAGAATGATAAAAAGAGCAGATGCTTAGTAAATAGAACTTTGTCCTGCACTACAGACAGGTCAAAAGAGGTCATCTCTAATACTCTGTTATGGGCCAGGCCCATAATTCAGGTTCTTCTAGGTAGTTAAGTGGGGCAGAAGGTTCTCTTGAACCCACAGGGTTGGTGGCCTCTAGCTCAATTTGCATAGCACTGAAGCACATCTTGGGGTGACTGGTTCTGAACCCCCACATTGTTAGATTCTCTCTGTATTCCTAATCTGTAACGCTTATCACAACAATATTTAAAAATCATTAGTGAGTGGCAGCAGCTCAGCACACTGTGAAATGCCCACACTGCCTAGACGAGCTGCCTCAATTAGAATCTTGGGTCAGCTGTGTGTCCCCAAGCAAATTCTTTAATCACTCTGTACCTGATCTGTAAAATAAGGGTAATAATTGTGCCTACATTGCAAAATGATCATGAAGATTAGATGAGCTGATATGCCAAAGTTCTTCTAAGTTCTTTCAATTGACATGCAGCAGTTGCCCTGAGACGTAAACAACCAGGTTTTGTCCAGGCCATAGGAAGGTTTCTGAACCTCTTTTCCTGCTTCTGGGTTCATCTACCAAAGTGAGGGGTCATGATAAGGTTCACATAAACTTGTGCAAGATGCACATGACTTTCCTTGCTGGCAGCCGCTGATCCAGGGCTGAGCTCACTTCTGAGACTCAGAGCGGTTCTGTGACTCCTGGAAAGTACTCAATGACCTGCAGACAGTGCTGAGACCACAATCATCAGTTATCTCCACTGTGCTGCTTGCCTTTCTGGAAAACAGATGGAGAGACAGAGAGGCCGGGGAGGGGCAGGTAATTAGAGAGCTGGATACCCATACTCTCTGCAGTCAATGCTTCCACAACTCGATCTGATCATCAGGACAAAAGGTACACTAGGATACACGATACCCCGAAATGGACCCACCATCACCACTGAGCTTCTGCTGCAGCCCTGTTGGCATAAACTGTCCCAAAAGCAATGCTTTGGGGCCCCAAAAAGAGCTGCCCATCTTAGGACAGGAGTTAATGTCCATCTATCGGCACACGGCAGCCAAGCCAAGCATCCTGTCCTTGATAAGTCCCTGACCAGAGAGCCACCAAGGTGGTCAAAGAGAGGGATGAGCAGTAAGGGCAACTCCTAAGTGTTTCCAGGTAAAGCAAGTCCTCGTCCCAGTCTCCAGCATCTCCTTATTAAAATGATGTTGTCTTTCCCGGATTTACTCTGACTTCACCTTTGCTATCTAGAGCCTGAAGCTCAGCCAGGGTTGCAGTAGTCTTCAGCTACACGCTGCTGTTTGCTGGGACACCTGATTCTGCTTCTACAAACCTGGTGAGTGCATGTCTGGGCAGAATTTTGGCTTCTTGAGCACAGGTGGTTAAAGGAAGTTGCTAGTGAAGGCTTCAGACAATGGTATTCATTGTCTGAACGATATGCTCAATGATATTCAGACAGAATATCATCCTGACATCAGCCAAGCCATTTTAGAAAAATGGCCAAAAGGGAGACCAGGGTAAATTTGGTGCAGCACCAGCTGTCCCCTGCCCACAACTGGACGGGTCAACGTTTGCTGATGATGCAAAGTGCCGGCACGATTTCCACATGAGGTGATACTTCCCAGCTCCAGATATTCTGGGAAAACATTTAAAAATATCCAGGAATCTCACTCTGAATTCACCATCAGTGTGCTGCGGGCAGGACCCGGGCCTCCTAAGAGCACACACACACTTCCAAAGGGGCTCCAGCTTGATTTGGCTTACCTGCAATGTCTTCAGGGCAGGTGTCCAAGCCCCTCCACATTTTGACAAGATGTAGCAATGTAAGTATCCCTAAGTCCCCTATGTTACACTGCAAGCACAGTGCCTATGCCTGGGCAGGGAGGACAAGCATCTCATGGGAGAGGAGTGCCAAGACCGATCTCCAAGTCAGGTGTGCACTCACACCTTCTCTTCCATGTCTGCCATGTGGTGACAGCAATGGCAAGGGACCTTCCCACCGCTGGCCACATCACCCAGCTGGGGAGGGAGATGGGGAGACAGATACTAGAGAATGGCCAAGGTCGTGTTCACCAGGTGTGGTGTGACCGCAAGTGCCAGCTACCCCTGGCGTTGGGAAGCAGTGACGTCTCCTCTTCTCTGAAAAGGCATCAGATTGGGTGACCAGAATGATCTACCTGAGGCCTAAAGCGTCACAAGGTGATGTCTGACGCCCAGAGGGTCATTTGCAGCATCCTTGCACCTCAAGCTCTCCTTGTCAGGCTACCTGACCCTCTCTTTAGCTGTGCTACATATATTACTTTTTAAATTAAAATAGGAAGTCTAACATGAATATTAATTCAGCAAGTTTCTATGTACTTGAGTTAGTGGGAACAATGCCAAGGAGTCTGAGGAACCCAGGGCAGATGCTTCTCATATGTAGGGTCTCTTCTTTCATGGCAAGGTCCCTCCAGCCTGCGGGGAGAGATCAAGTGGTCGCTTGCCCGTGTCCTGAGCTTTCCTCAGTGCAGGTAACCCCACTGGCTTCTCATGTGTGGGATGAATTGAGATTTGAACTACATCACCTGGGAGAGCTTTTGAATCCAAGGATGACGTGACCTTCTGGTTAGATAGGCGCTTTGGTGTGCTGTGTGAGTGGGGGTCTCCCAACATTTGGGGGGGGGACTTGAGACACACAACCTCGTGGGGTTCAGTTCCAAATCATTGCCTTTGTGTCTTATTTAGGATGATTTTACAGGTAAGACACCAGTAAGTAGAGCAATGTTCCTGTTTAGACCACATTTGAAGCAGGTGAGGGAAACTTCCACTGCAGGGCCTCGGGCAAGAGCCAAGTGCAGGAAGGTGGGGCAAAGGTGCAACATGGCTTTGAATTAGAATTTTCCCCTCTTCCTGGCAGATCAATACAAAAGGCAGACTATTTACAAACGAAGAGTCCTGATATTTATTTCTTGTTCAGGGTATGACCAAATGGTTTTATTGCATTTACTGCTCCTGAGTGGATAGGTGTCTACACAGGCACAGTAATCAGAATTATAAAGCCTTGTGGCTCTTCCACTTGGTTTTTGGCAGTGATATCTCAATGTGACAATGACATGGGTGACAAGGAGCCTTGCTGCCTGCCGATGGACGTGACAAAACACCAAATGCCTACCTGGTGGCTTGGATCCGGCCACCGCCACTCCCTGGCTGACATTGCCAGTCTTCCAGGAACAAAAAGACCATTGGTTTAATTGCTCAAGGTTTCACTGTCACTATCAGTCTCAGCCCAGAAGTCCAGGCCACAAACTTTCAAGCTATTGTCGGACACCTGCCCTGGAAGCAGAGGCTTTGGTCTGAATGCTGTTTCCAGTGGAGTGGACAGCAAGCCAACCTGAGTTTGCTGACTCATCTGTAAACCGGGGATGAGGGCAGTGTCGCCAGGCTACCTGGTGCTGTGAGTTGAATTGTCTACCCACCCTCAAAATTCATGCTCATCATCCTAACCCCAGTGCACCAGAATGTGACCTTCCTTGGAAATATGGGCATCACAGGTGTTCTATTTAAGAAGGGGACATACTGGATTGGGGAGGGGAGTGATCCAATGACTGGTGTCCTCTAAAAAGGGGAAATTTGGAGACAGGCATGACCACCGGGACACCAAGTGAAGATGAAGGCTGAGATGGGGTGATGCTTCTACAAGGAACACCATCGACTGCCAACAACCACCAGAAGCTGGGGGACAGGCATGGAGCATGTCTTCCCTCACAGGGACTCAGCCTGCCCTGCCCTTGACCTTGGACTTCCCACCTCAGTTCCAGCGATGTCTCTGCTGTCCTAAGCCACCCGTTTTTGGTATTTGTTAAGGCAGCTCTAGCAAATGAACACAACCAGCATGCTAAGTGAATGGACACTCACGGTTGTTTGCGCTGCCCCAGGCATGACCGAATGGGAAGGGGAACTTAAGTGCCTTTCAAATGAGGACAACTCCACTGCTACCCCACAACCACTAACGGGAATCCTCAGGGTACAAAGAAACATTTGGGCAGGGTGCGCAACACACAGTTTAAAATGTGGGCATTGCTCTTGGTGAGCTCGCAACCCCTAAGCAGCAGCCATGGTCACAAATAAAAGGGTGACACGGTTCCCCATCGCGAGGAGCTGCGACCCTGAAAGGGCTGCCTGATAATCGTGGATGTTCTTTGAGCCAGATAGTGACGGGGACTCAGACTTCTGATGACATAGCAGACTTGGCGTGCCTGGCCCTGCTCCCCACGTGCCCACCATCCCACCTACCAGCTTCTTGCTATCAGATGGGAAGTGCAGCTACCCTGGAACCCCAGGATGGGGGTGTGGGTGTTGACAGGGCAAGGTGGAGTGTAGTGAGTCAGTGGCAAGGGGTGGACCCCAAGGGGTCACCTGGTGGTGGCCCAGTCCCTCTGCCCGCTTGGGAAGCGCTGGACTGGGTTCTCTTGGCCTAGAAACGCAGGGCGAGTCAAAGCTGGTGGTAACACGCCTTCCGCCCTTTTTGGCACAGCAGTGACAGAAGAGCTTAGTTGGCCAGTATCTCATTTCTACCTGAGAGCAAAGGGCAAGAGGATGTGGTCTGTCCTGGGACAGGTGTGTCTTGGGGTGGGGGTGTCCGGGGCCACTCAGTAGGAGTTCAGTGCCTGCTTGGAGCGGCGCTTCATGTGCAGGCGCTGGTGGCGCAGGAGGTCGGAGTTGTGCGAGAAGCTTTTGACACAGTACCGGCACCGGAGGGGCCGCGCCTCATTATTCATGTGTGCACTGCTACGGTGCCGGGCCAGGTGTTCGGGCCGCTGGAACACCTTCCCGCAGTCACAGCACTGGACATTGAGCCGGGTCCGGCCCTTGGCCAGCAGCGCATCAGGGTCAGGGCCCCCACCTGTCGGACCCGCCTCCCCCTGCTCGCCGCCCCCCAGCGGCAGGTGGACCCGCCTATGGCAGAGCAGGTGAGAGTTGAGGCGGAAGCTCTTCCCGCACGCACCGCACCGGAAAGGTTTCTGGGCCTCGTGGGCCTCTAGGTGCCCGTCCAGGTCCTCACTGTCACTGAACAGCTCCCCGCACACCGAGCACTCGTGCAGCTTCTCCTGCTCCCTGCGGCTGCGCAGGTGCCGGATGAAGTTGACCCTCCAGCGGAAGACCTTCCCGCAGTTCGGGCACACGTAGGTCTTCCCGGAGGTCTGTACTTCACCCCCCGCCAGTGCACCACTCTGCTGGGCAGCGGGGAGGCTGTGCTGCTTCTCCGCTGGGCTCCGCCGCTCGTCTGTGCAGTAGGGGCCCAGCTGGGAGTCTTCGTCCCCAGAGCTGGACAGGACAATCTCAATGGTCACCTCCTCATCCAGGCCGTTCTGGGGGGTGGGTGCATCACCTCCAGCTGCAGAAAAGCCATGTGCAGGTCAGTGGTGCTGCCCAGGCCACACCCCACCCCTAAAACTCCACTTCCCCTTCCCCCAGGGAGATGCTTTTGGTCCAGAAAGCCACATCTTACAAGGCTGTAGCCTATTAGAGAACACGTGCACTGTGCCAACCCTCCTGGGTAGGGCTCTCTTACCCTGCCCTGCCCTTTTCCCCGAAACACCAGCCCCAATCCTTTTTCTTTTCTGGCCACTGAGACCCCTCCAAGCTCTAGGAGTTTGTATTTATCTGAGTAAAGTCTCGACAATGCACACATAAGTTGTTCCCAGATATAACCGATGATATATTATTTGCCACGTTATACATATTGCAAACTTGGTGACACACCTAAGGGTTGAGGCAGGGTTGTTCAACTGTCCCAGACTGCCCAGGGTCATCTCTCCCTCAGTGTCACATCTGAGGCCTGCCAGTGGCCACCAACGGCAATAGGAAGAGATGTCCTGAACTTGACAACCTGGGCTAACTCGATGGACCCCAAGTCTGTCACGTTCAGAGGAGGTACCATGGGGAGCAGGTGGGTAGGCCGCCAGGCACCTGGTGTGAGGTCCTGGCCTGCAGCCTAGAGCCCATCACAAAGCTCCCCTCGGTCCTCTGTTTCCTCACTTTTTGAAATGTGGGGCTCTCAGGTCTACACCAGGGGGCAGTGGTGCTGCACCCTTCAAGACATTAGTTATTATCTTGACTGGACCTTAGTAAATCATAACTAACAGGAACATGGTTATTCTGGACTTAATTTCTACAGGGAGGAGGGTTCTGGCAGGTTCGGTAACCTGAGGGCAGGTGGAGCTGGACAGAGGCAGAAATACAAGGCAGGGCCAGGGCCGAGGAGGTGTGTCCATCAGAAGACAGGGCAAGGGGGTTGGGGAGAATGCGAGTGGGGAGTGGGAGGAAGACTTGAAGACATGGAGAATTCTCAGTCTACCCATATTGTACAAAGTGGGAGAGCACCAAGGGTGTGACTGGACAACCATGGCTCTAATCAACCATGTCAGGAGAAGCCAGGAATGGAGGTGAGGTAATCAGGAGAGATCTATAGGCGACCCTCTTGTCTGATGGTCTGGACCCATCAGACCAGAGGGTGGAGTGTTAAAGGCTGAAATGCATCCCGTAAATATTCCTATTATGTTTAAGTCCTAACCCAAATACCTCAGGATGTGAACACATTTGGAGTTAGGCTCTTTCAAAAGGTAATTAAGTTAAAATGAGATCATTAAGATGGGCCCTAATCCAACTGGCATCCTTACATGAGATGAAAATACAGACACACAGAGAAGGCCTGTGAGAGTACAGGGAGGAGGCGGCCGTCTACACACCAAGAACAGAGGTTGCAGAAGCCCACCCTGTTGACACCCTGATCTCAGACTTCCAGCCCTCTGGACTGTGAACAATCACTTCCTGCTGTTTGAGCCACCCTGTCTGTGGTACTTTGTTAAGGCAGTCTTAGGAGAGTAATATAGTGCCTACGGGATGACATCCTCTCAAATCAGCTAAAGTGATCAAAAACAGATGCAGAGTTTCTAAAGGGGAATAAGCAACCAACTGTGCTGCTGTGGACCAGTCACACAACAGTATGAAGGGCTCCTAGTAGATGAGCTGAGATTCCGAGGTGTGCCCAAAACACCATACAGAGTAAAGCCAGGGAGCGCTCAGCTCACCAATGAGGAGTACAGAACGGGCTGTGTGGGGTGTGAGAGGGGTCCCCTGAATTGGCTGTTAGGATAACAGTAGGGAAATGGGCAAGAGTTATGGGCCTGTGTGCTTTTATGTTTATTAAATCATGTCCTCAACAATAAGCCCATAAGAGCTATGATTCCTGTCTCTGTTACAGGGGAAAAAATTAAAGCAGAGTGAAAGTTGCCAAAGGTTTCTGGAGAACTGAGCCCAGTCAGGGGAGTGGGGGCACTGCTCAGGCTGGCAAGTACTTCTCAAGGGCACCTGTGGGCTGGAGGGGCCAAGGGGAAAGCAGGGAGGACAGGAAGCCAGATGTGAAAAACACAGAATGACAAAGGCATTATCAAAATCCATTCTTACAGTGTTAGGATGGGGAGGCTTTCTTGCAAGACATAAACAAAAAGATGAATAAATGTATCTACATTTCAAACATGTGAAAAGGAATTTATGTGCTGAAAGACTCACAAGGTTTAAAAAAAACAAGGGAGGAATTATGTTCAAATAAGAGACAATGGGTTTGGACCCACAATTCTGATTTCACAGAAAAGGCAGGTGTTGGCTCGGTGATGTGAAATGAGAAGTCTGGCCTGGGCCTGACTGCCCAGGGTCACCTCTGCAGTCGGACCTCACAGCCTGAGTGTGGACCCTGGGCGAGCGAATTTAGATCGCGTGCCTCAGTTGCAGGATGGAGACATCACAGTTCCCTTCAGGGGCCGAGCATTTCTGTCCATGAAAATGCATATGTTCAAGGCCTAATCCTCAGTGAGGTGGTGTTAGGAGCGGGGAGCCTTTGGTTGGTCATTAGGTCTAGATGAGTCTTGAAGGTGGCCCTGTATTGGGAAGTGACCTCATAAGAGGAGACACCAGAGCTCCCCCAGCACACACTAGGGGAAGGCCATGAGTGCACGCGGGCACGTGGCCAGACGGCAGCCTCTACAAGCAGGAAGAGCCTGCACCATTCACAGGCTACATAGGCACCTTAACCTTGAACCCTCCCACGTCCATAACGGTGATAAATTTGTTGTTTCAGCCGCCCAGCTCTGGCTGTTGCTGGATGAGTCATGCCCATGGTCAGCACCTATCTCAGAAGGTCTGTACGGACACAGTGCACAAGGTTGCGTGAGAACACTACACTGAGGCCTGGGACATACAGAGAGCTTGTCCAGCATGATGGGGGAAGGGCAAAAACAGAAACAAGGACTAAACAACAGCACCTACCTGGTCTACAGGGAAAACACAACAAACACAAGTGAGTCCATCTCAGGGAAGTGTTAGAATGTGCTGATGGAACAGGTGGGGGCATCCTGCATGAGTCCCCATAGCAATGGGGACAGGAACCCCTCACCTGCTGTCAGAGGATGTGGACAGGAGCTACCCAAATAACAACGGCGCCTGTTCTTTGAAATCCATCACCTATCCTGTGCACTGGGCGCCTTGCCGTGTCACAGATTTTGTGTCAGAGCCCAGGAAAGGGAGAGCGAAGCTGCAAGCTCCCTGTGGTGTAGCCACACACCCTCCAAAGCCTGAGACAGGCGGTGGGCAGGCAGAGGGTAGCACAAGCATCATCAAGCCCGACTGAGACGGGCATCTGTGCATGGCCACCCGCGCCCTGGGGAAGAGCCATCCTCCTTCTGGATCTGCTGTGGGTTTACGTAAACGTGAAATCCCTTTTGTCTACACACAATAGGGCAAACACAGGTGGTAGTGAGCTCTGCCCAGAGATAGGTGCAACTACCACAATACCAGGCCAATCTTGCCTCTAAAACACATCTCTGGTAAAACAGATTGTGCATGAGTCAGTCCCCACAGCTGTGGAAAATCTCTGTGACACAGTGGGTTCAAATAAGAACCAGAGACATAATACTGTATGTCAACTGTAATTGAAAAAAAAATTTTTAATAGAGGAAAAAAAATGAAAGAATCAGAGAGCAGGGTTTGGTGCTTGGAAGAACACATGAACCCCGAGGATGTTGAAGATGGCCACGTTAGCCTCGGCCACTGGAAGCGGTGACTTTTGGCAACACACGTGCACATATTGGCTCCCCGTGAGGGCAGGTGGGGCACACCCTCCAGAGTCCCTTTCGCTGTAGCATTCTGCAATGCTGCTCTTCAGTTCCAAGACTGTTCTGGACTCTAGCACACTCCTATGTGGCAAACCACGCTGCCTCACACCTGCTTCACCCGCAAGGGGAATAGGAGGGGACTGGAACTCAGCTGGAAGACCCTGGCAAAAGGGAACCAACGTGAGCAGCTGACAAACCCCAGGAGCGGCTGCAGAGACCTCTGAGAGTTCAATTCCTGACCACTCACCAGCACACGCACCACACACATGCAGCATACCAGACATGCCATCCCCATGCCCACATGCACATGCCGATGGCACTACATGCACCCCTCATACCCTCCAGGCCGTCCTTACCTGGGCAGTTGCTCTGAGTGAGCGCTGTCTGCTCACAGGCCTGGAACTCTTGCAGCTCATCCCGTTTTCTTCTTTCTTCAACCTGGAACGGCTGGAGACTTGGAAAGTCTTTCCAGAGAAGAAAATAGGAAAGTTGGTTTGTCCTGCAGCTACAGCACCACTTGGGGAGGCATCTTAATAGACACTTGGCTGGAATCTGAGGCAGCCCTGGGCTCCCTCTTGGGTGTCCCTTAGTGTTTGTAAAGTGAATGAGTCTGCAGGCAACACGGGTTCTGAAGCTAGTTGGAACCAATGTGGGTCCTGGTTTCTCTCCATCACCTAACTGTGAACCAGTCACTGCCGTCCCTGTAGTCACTTCCACTTGTGTGGTGGGACTCCCAGAGGCCCCAGTGCCCCTCACAGATGCCGCATAAATGCAGCTTGCAGAGCCGTCGTGTCCCAGTGTCTGGTTGAGGGAGTGTGACCCCACACCCATTCTGCAAGGAGTTGGGGAGGAGGCAAGACATGCTCTACCAAGACAGAATCCAGGTGGCAGAGGGCTGCACAGAGATGGCAGGGAGCAGCCAGCCTCCAGTTGCCCCCCTGTTCTGGAGTCGTGACTCACCCAAGCAGGGGGGCTGGGTGGCCTCCTTCCCCTGGAGGTCCTGCAGCTCCGGAATGCACGGCTCGTTCTCCTCGCCCTGGGAGAGATCCAGCTGGGCAGCTGGGTCATCTGCTCACAGAAAAGTAGGGGACACACATTCCTCAGTGATCTGAAGGGACACATGACAGGCCATGGCAGTAACAGGGCCATACAGGGAGGCCAGGAGGGAGCAGTGGGCATGGGTCAGCTGTCAGGTCACCAGGTTAGAGGGCCAGAAGTGAAGAGGCCACAGGAGAGAATGACAGAGAAAAGTGGATGCACCTGAGTGTGTTACATTTGGCTCTGTTTGCAAAGCACTGGTAAGCCTGAGATACATGTGATAGCGGCAGGTGACAGCCCATCTGCTAAGTGTCCTTGGGACCACTGGGTTCAGGTGACCACCCGTCAGGGTTGGGGGGTGGACCGCAAGATCAGATGTGGGCCCCCAGGTCCCTGGTCTCAGGGGTGGGGGAGGGGTCTTACTGGGCGGCAGCGAGACCCCGCAGTCCTCTCCGATGATGAACTCCCCATAGAAGCCAGTCTGGGCGGGATCTAGAAGGGACCAGTCCTCTTCCGAGAAGCAGAAGATCATGTCTTTGAAGGGAGAAACCCGGTTCTGAAACCAGAGAACAGGGAAGCCTCAGTCTGGGGACCAGCTAGGGACAGAGACTACCAACAAGGGTGCAAGCTGGGGCTAAGGACAAAGGCCCCACAACACGTGCAGCCAGAAGTAAGTCAGAAGGCTGCTCCCCAGCTCGCCTGACATCCACGTGATTGGTTCCTATCCTGCCAGCTTTGGTCAAATCGAAGCCGCGATGCCGAAGAGTGAGCAGGGCGCATGCGCAGTCCCAGGCCAGCGACGGGGAGCGTCCGCAAAGTTACAGTGCGCTCAGCCCGCCATGCGGACACTCCCATTTCTGATTTATTTTGCGCGTGTGCAGCGTGAGGTCTATATGAGCTCCTTCATAGCAGCATTGATGATCATAGATAATACTATCAATAGAAATTGATCACAGATGAAGACTGAAGACGAGCTCTGTGCCCATCAAGAGAGCGCTGATTAATTCCGGGACATTCTAATGGGGACGAGCTCAATCCCATTGAGGGAACAAGGGCCTCTTCACTGAGGAGGAAGCCCTCCAGGTGTGTCATATGAAAAGCACCTGTGTACAAGGTGGTCTAGGCCCCACACGCAGTGTGTCCAGAAGTCTGTAACGGCGGTGGCTTCACAGCTTTGCGGGACCTGGGATTACGCGTGGCAGGGACTTTTCTTACATGGAACATGGGAATGTATCAAATTAATTTTAATTAAAAAAATGATGGCATATCCATATAATACCAGGAGGCCATAAAAATTAAGTCTTGGGCCTCCCGAGTGGCTTAGCAGGTTAAGAGCGTGAGCTCTGAGCAACAGGGTCACCGATGTGATTCACACATGGGCCAGTGAGCTGCGCCCGAGCTGAGCTGCTGCTGAGTGGCTGGATGGAGACTGGACTTGGAGCTGAGTTAGCTGCGCCCTCCACAACTAAGACTGAAGGACAACAACTTGGCTGTTCCCCTTCTCCAATTCGCCAACACTGTTCCCTTGCCCCAATTCCCCAATAAAATCTAAAAAAATAAAATAAATAAGTCTTTTACAGAATGGAAATGTCTTTGACAGTTGAAGCATGAAGCTAGGGTCTCAAACTTCCTGTAAATATGCATATTAATATTACAATAGGTTGATAGTAACAATATGTGTCACTGAAAAATTATTCACTTCATAATGATCTGGAACTTTGATTACTTGATAGAATATTTGGGAGAAGATGTAAAAGATGGAAAACTGGTCTAGTTGATATTTGTTTGTACCAACTTCTAATCCCAGAAGAACAGAAACACACATAGTATCTCTACTAAGCATTCTCTGGATATTGGCTTAACAAGGCACATGTTTTCTGCAAAGTGTTTCAATCAGAGCATTTACAATAAAATTCCACTTTTGTTTTTTTATAAAACGTAACTCCTTTATATAGTCAACTGGAAAGGACTTCAAAATAATATTGTATAACATTATCTGTTTAAAGAATGAATAAGTTCCTATTTTAAACACATAACCTCACATCTGTCTAGCTGTCTGAAAGATCACAGATTACTTGTCTGGTTTCCCTGGGGGACGGGGACAAATGTGGGTGGACACTGCTGGGAAAGGAGTTTTCAGTGTATGTCCTCTGCTGCCTTGGACTCTTCCTCCCCTACCTACACACTTTTTTTTTTTTTTGTAGCTGAGCCATCCTGCCACCTGTTGGCTTCAGCGGCAGCTCAGCTCAGGCCGGGAATCGAACCGGCGACCCTGTTGTTGCTCAGAGCTCGCATTCTTTAGCGAGCTCTTAACCAACTGAGCCACTTGGCTGGCCCTACACTTTTTGATTTTTCAAATTAAACTTAGAAACAACAGACAGTAAAACAATGAGCATGAAGGGTACAGAGCCTTGGGACTAGATGTGTCATGTTAACATTTTGCCTGTTTGTCATATTTCACCCCCTCACATGTGTGGTGGGTGGGCATATTTCTTTATCATCTGGATCACTGTGGGGCTGCAGGCACCATGATATGTTACCCCAACATGCTTCTGAGTGAATCTTCTAATAAAAAAGTTATTCTCCCATAGCAGCACAACTTCCTATGGCACCATGGTTCTCATCCAAGGGGAACTGATTTTGCATCCAGAGCACATGTGGCAATGCCTGAGACATTTTTCATGACTGGGGGTGGGCACTACAACATCAATAGGCTGGAGGCCAGAGATGCTGCTCAAGACCCCACAGTGCCCAGGAAAGCCCCATGTGACAAAGACCTATCCAGCCAAAACGTCAATAGAGCCATGGTCTAGAAAATGCTCTGCCAACACCTGAAAAAATTAACACCAGTTCAATATCATTGAGTATCTTTTGAACTAAGAAATAGTATTACCTTTTCAAGAAAAAAAAAAATGCCAGTTCCACAGGTGACTGTGACAAGAAGACAGGAAATTGCTGGGTTAAAGCTTTCTAATGAGTCCTAGAAATCTTGTTAAATATAAATTGTATCTTTAAATGTCAATCATCAGGTATACAAGTGAAATTCAACAGACCTATGTCTTCATGACAATAGTCATATGCTTATAAATACTTGTTTCGTTTGGCTTACATCCAACTGATTAGAAAAGATGAGATTAAGTGCAACGCTCCCTCCCCTGAGTCTTTGGGGATATAGGAATACAGGCCTGGGGAAATGCACATTTCTGGACAGTTTGGGGAGATTTGGGGAGAATGTAATAGAAGCACACCCTGTGACCCAGTAATCCCACTTCCAGGACATTTTCTGAGGTACATGCAAAGATGTGTGTAAAAAAACGTAGAACACACCATTTGGTAGAATCTCGTGTGAGGTTTCTTTTCTTCTTTAAGCTTTTCTCTAGTGTCTGAAGACTTACCCTGGGCATGGATAATTTATGTCTTATTAAAAGTTGAAACAAAATACTGTCCATGCACCTATATAAAAATACAAAAACTAACAGGTTACAGTGTTTGCCTCCGGTTTTCTGTGAAAGGGCGTTGGGGGTGGGTCACAGGTGGAATGTGGTCTCAGCTTCTCCTGGCCCCAGTCCCACCTCCAGACCTTCCCAGAGTGGGTTGCAGTCCAGGTTTGGTGCTTACATTCAGTGCATACCCTTTAAACTCCAACTACATCTGAATATAGCTTAACATGATGTCACAGGACTGCACTGCAAGTTTTTAAATGTTGAATTTGCATTACACCCCCGTTCTGTTTAAGGTTTATTCATACACATATATGTATATCCAGTTTATTGAGGTTTTGTCCCCTCTTCTAGCAACAGTGTTTTAGGTTTTCCCAGTACAGATGCTCCTCTACCTAGATAGGGTTACATCCCGGTAAGACCACCCAAAGTTGAAAACATCCTAAGTCGAAAATGTATTTGATACCATGCTGCAGAGTACCGCTTGCTGACCCAGGGAAGGCAGGCTAGTGGGGAGCTGAGCGTGCCCAGCACGAGAGCACCTACTGTACATGCGCAAGGCAAGCCAGGGAAAGAGTCCAAATTAAAAATCTAAGTACGGTTTCTATCGAGTACCTATCACTTTCCTACCATGGTTAAGTCAAGAAACCGCAAGTCCGGGATCGTCTGTACTTTGCTACTACAAGCAACAAACAGTTTGATGAACCCTCTCATCTGTCTCTCTATCCACGTGCAAGTGTGAGTGCGGGATACATACGTAGAAGGAGAGTTACTGGGCCACCGGGAACCATCTTCACCAATACAAAATACTGACCATTGTTCGAGTGGAGCACCTGAGCTATGCTCGCTGCGCGGCCACCAACACTGGGTTCTGCCAGCAGACCTCGGTTCCAGCCCTGCGCCAGGAGCCCAGCGATCACAGCCATGGAAGGATCCTTGATGAGCATCCTTCATGCGTTCACTGGCTCGTACGGTTTTTTCTTCTTGGAGATCCTTGTTTATTTCCTTTGCCCACTTTTCTATTTTCTAATGAGTTGTTTTTCCTATTTTTTAACCAGCTTGTTTTAAATTGTAGATATACTTCACTATTAAAAGAGAAAACATTTCAATTTTAAAATTTAAAAAGATTCTAGGGCTGGCCAAGTGGCGCGTTGGTTAAGAGTTGGCTTGGGACGCCAGCTCTGAGCAGCAGAGCCCCAGTTCAGATCCCACATTAGGGCCAGTGACGCTGTGCCCTGTACAGCTAACATGGTGAACAACAGCTCAACCTGGAGCTGGGCTCCCGTGAGTTGCTGGCGACGGAATAGGCTGCAGTGAAGCTGCAGTGGGCGGCCATAAGCTACCGTGAGTGGCTGGCAGCTGGTGTGAGCGGCCAGCAGCCAGCATGAGATGCAAAGAGCCACTGTGAGCAGCCATCCAGTGGCTGGCTACCAATCTGCCTCACTTGGAAAGAGTGCAATGATAATACCAACATGGGCCAGTGAAGCGACGTCCTCCACAACTAGACTGAAGAACAAAAGGCCAGCAACTTGTCTGTTCCCCTCCAATACCCCAATAAAATCCTTAAAAAAAAAAAAGATTCTAAATGTGTTGCAATAACTTTATGGTGGTATAAATAATCAGTAATATTAGTGGCATGGGATGAACTGCAAGGAAATGTTTAAAAATTAGTATGGTTATAATTTTGATAAAAGAGCTGCAAAATCAAATGTGGCTTTGAAACAAAAATATACCAACACAGCAGAGAAGAAAAAGTCCAGAAACAAAATTTGGTACACATAAAAATTTAATCTATATAAAAAAAAATAGAACCCTAATCAAGAGAAAGATGGTTTTTATCCAATGTATCTGATGTAGTTGGTTGACTATTTAGAAATGAAACTAGATTCTGATCCTTGATATTAACTAATATAGAAATAAAAACCGTAAGAGTACCAAAAAGAAAAGCTTTCCTCAGAAACTAAAAACAGAAGAATGACGTTCATATAAAAATTATAAATACCTCCAGTAATTAAAACAACATGAATGAAATTAAAAGACCAGTGACAAACTGAGAACAAATGTACACCATTTATGAAAGGCAAAGAAGACTTAAAATATACAAAGCCCTTATAAC